GTGCACTTAAGACACCTCTGTGTGTGTGCGTCTCTTTCTCGCACACTCACGCGTGGAGGGGCCGAGGCGCGGGCTGAGAGAGCGAGGGGAAGAGAGAGGGGCAACTAGGCGCCCCTTCTCTTCTAAGCGAGCCCCTCAAAGGGGCGGCGTGGTCCGGCGCCTCGCGCCACTCGAGGCGCGTGCGGAGCGTGCTGTGCGGAGGGAGGCTGGCGAGTGCTCTCGTCTCCCCGCTGGACCACATGGCCTGGCCGCGCCGTCCACCCCAGCTGGCCTGGCGGCCTGGCCGCCCCACGGCTGCTGTCGCGGTTCGCCCAGTAAATACATATCCAACACACACGGCGCGCCGGTGGTGCGGAAGAGGCTGGCAGGGCCGGGCCCTGGCCGGGCCAGGCTGGGGCGGGCTCCCCCAGCGCGCCATGTGCAGCGTCATGGAGCACCAGGAGGAAGCCTCGCGCGTGCTGTGCCGTGTGGACCGCCGTGTCCAAACACGAACCGACGCCCGGCCAGCCGCAGCTACGGCTTTGGGGCGAGGGAAGGTAAACTCGGAGGCTCTCCCGCCGTCAATTTTAGAAGACACACATTACAACATTTGTAAATGCCACAAGCGAATATGTTTGTTCTGATAAACACCTGCAACGCGGTGAGCACTCCTAAGAAAACGGAAAAAAGACGATTAGTAAGGAACTTGAACTGTAAAACGTATCCTCGTAAATTCAAAACTTCTTTTGTAATTTCATTTTTAAAATACGGAACTGCTCGTTCCTGCTCGTCTGTGAATTCCAAGTCGATACACAATTCCTTGTAGTTTAACAATTGTGATTTGGAATTTTACAGCACACATCATGGTAAAGTTTCCTGAATCAACCCTAAGAATTTCTCACAGTACTTGAAGTGCAAATTGTGATGGTCGTAAGTTGGGAGTGTTCAACTTTGTAATCGAGAGGAGCGCGGAGCACAAAAAAGGAGACTTTTTTCCCAGTGAAGCTGCAGGAGGAAGAACAAGACATTGACCCGGGCTGAGGGCGTTATGGATATTGCTGGTCTGATTGGTTCACCCGTGAATGAGCGAGCGGCGCTGGCGCTGCTGTATTGGCTGGGAGATCAGTGCGCGCTCCGTGGATGGTTATATGACGGCGTGGTTTTAATAGCCGAGCTGAGCTGCTGTAGCTCGAGGCCGGCCAGCCCTGCCGCTGAGCTTCTGCTTCAGCCCCTCCCTCTCCGTCCCCCCTCTTCCCTCTCCTGCCTTCGCTACCCTGCGCAAGTTCTTAGGTATAAAAGATATCTTGCATCAACTATATCGACTAATACTATATCGTATCGTCAACTCACAGACAGAGACTTGGCGGCGAGAGGATCATGTAGATGTCCCTGGGCCCGGCTGTCGCTTTTCTTGCCATACCCTTCCTGCTACGGAACGCCATCAACCCGTGTATTTGGTCTACGACTTCCGAAAGAGGCGTAGATGACAACATTCTTGAATTGGTACCACCTGCTGTCAAGACCTTTTCATTTGAGGTGAGGTGTGTGTGCGACTATGCCAGTCAGTATGGCAAAGAGGCGACCTGCGGGCGGGCGCTGTGCTGGCGGCCTGCGCGCCTCCGGGGCGTGGCGCGGGGTGGCGCGGCCAGCGTGTGTTTTTCGAATGTCGTTGCCGTTCGTTCGGAAGAGAGGGAGGGGGGGAGGGAATCGATTACGTGCTTTATTACTGCATTACTCGCGTTTAGCGCGCCTTATGGGCCCAGTATGGGACGAGCCGGGAGTAATTGCATTCCACAATAATTATTGTCTGAGAAAGGCGCGGCCGGGCCGGCCTAGTATGGCGGGCGAGAGCCTGGCGATAGCGCTCGCCGAGGTGTTATTGTGCCGCGAGGGACGGGCGGATAAACCCGCGGGAGAGAGAGAGAGAGAGAGAGAGAGAGAGAGAGAGAGAGAGAGAGAGAGAGTTTTGCATCCGAGGCCTGCTTTAGGCTATGTTCGGCTCGCTAGAGGTGAAAAGATACAAATCCCCCCCCCCCTTTTGGCCGATGGCGTTCTGCTGCTCTAATTTACACACCGGCTAAGCAGCCGTAGCCCGGCCCATGGGCCCGGCTACCCATCTGAACTGGTATATCTCTCCACTCATCTATGCCTCCATCTACCCCTCGATCTGTCATTTGCCTTTTTGGGCCGGTCCATCTATTAGGGCCGAGCCCTTAATGCTAATCCCCGCTTTAATCCCTTCGCGCGTTACGTGGTTAGTGAAGGTCGGGTGAGGAGGGGGAGGGGGGCTAACAGGGGCGTGTTTGTGAGGGGGGCAATAATCTGCATGCAGTGTCAGGCCCTGTAAAGGGGTGGGGGTAGAGATTAGCCCCCCCCCTCCCCCGGTCCCCCTATCTGAGCGGTTAGGCCACCAGTTACACACCTGGGGGCCCCTCTAGTCTCCTCATCGGCGACGTTGATTGTCTCTAGGATTTACGCTCGACGCATCGCCCTCCCCCCCCGGCCGCGCACCACCGCCACCGGTCCGCGGCCGCCCCCTGACACCTCCCGGTGGGGGCGTGCGGCACCTGTCGCGAGGCTAGCTGAGGTGGCGCCCGTCGCGAGGCTACGCGAGGTGCGCGAGCGGGTGCCCACAGAGAACCGCATAACCAGAGGGGTACCACAAGCGGGGCTCTCGTGACCAATTTGCGCAGCGGGGCTGGAGGCGATCACTAAGGCGTACCAACCCGAAAACCAAAACGCTATCACTTTATACGACCCAGTACCATCATACATTATTAATATCACCAAAATACACTTATGTTATGAATAAGCAAGCGTTTCTATACAATACGCAGTCAAAATATGCTGGAAATGTACAACATGAAATACTTAAGTTTTCGTCTCGTAATGTTGGTGGATCAGGGGCCTGCTTGGCCCGCCGGCCCGCCGCCATATTAGGCCACAGTGTTGTTTGTTGTTGTCGTCTCGTCTGCCGAGGGAGACTCCATGCCGTGGAGTAATTTTAAGAAGATTTATTGGAGATATTTGCTGCAGAGTTACTATTTCCTCGTCAATCAGGTATGTGCTTTTTGTTTTTAAGGTTTCTGGGTCTCGCATCCTCGCGAGAATTACCTTCTCTGGCCACTATTAGCTGAAGTACGGAGCAGGCCCTAAGGCTTGTCGGTTTGACCTAGGTCAGTATTTTGATTTCTCGCGAAATTCTTCGCACATAATGAGAAACGTTATTGGTGCTTTTACTATTTTTAATTTTGAAAAGAACTGGTTCAACGATAATTGGACTTGTGCCGTTTTATGCGCTTCCCACTTCTTAACTCTTAACCTCACTAAAACTACTCTCTTGACATCTTTGTTGTCGTTTGGGAAGCAGTTAAATCTATTACTTCAGAACAAAAACTTTGACAGTAATCATACACACATGTAACAGACTGTATTGTGTGTGCACTGATTTTGCTACTGGTGGGTTATTTTTGGCAAGTGTGGATGTAAAGTTTATTTTTATGTCTGATGCGAACTTGTGGACCGCAAGTTCTTGACCACTTACAACCAAGGCCACCTTGTAAATAAATCGGACTGGGGTTAGTGTCCTATGAATTCTAAAATTGCTTGTCTATTCTAATAGCTATTGGGTACTATAATATCAAAACATAAAAAATATACATTAAAATATATCCTAGCAGTTATTCTAAAAGTGTGAACTATTTTGTATTTTAGTGGAAGGTGTCGATTGCTGGCAACTCCAGAGCCAACCCATATCAAGTTTTTTCCGAGCTGAGCGACCACTTGCTGATGAGACTTCTTTAAGCAAATTTGGCTAAAGGTATGTTTAAGATTTGGTTTAACTGTTCTTTTCTTTACACCTTTAACTAAATAAATTATATTTCATTTGCTTTGTTTTCTTCTGTTCCAGAAACTTGGTCCCAATTTGATACCAGAGAAGATCAAGTGCATTTACGTTACCATCAATACTATACCATTCTATCCTATTTGTTATTTTATATTGTGGACAATATACTATTAGGAACTTATTTGATCTGTATGATTTATAAGTAACTGCCCTACAACCCTTTCACACCAAGAATATTTTTTAAATTACAAAAACAAAAAGAGGGAGAAAGGTCGTTATTTCAGCAGCTGCTGATTTTTGCCCTAATTACCAACGGGTATTTTGAAAGGCATTTTCAGGCAAAGATTGTATGCAATCTTACTATTTTTGACTACCTATGAAGCCACTACCATCAATGCCATGCCTCAACAGCATCCATCAAAGAGAAGGGAGGGGGGGGGGGGGCAGCAGAACAAAAGCAATATTGGGCAAAAGGGCCACTTTAGCCAGCATTTACTGGATTAAAGGAGGCAGGGATCGGTCTGAAATTGTAGATTACACAACTATGGCAGACTGCTAACACCTCTCAGAAAACAGAACATCGATATCTGCAACGGTTCAGGAGTTATGGCTCTGTGAAAACGTCCAAAAGGCGCCTGGAGCACACCTACTGCTACTACCCGGCCTGCGCGGCCTGCGCTGCCCGCCGCCCGAGAGCGGAGCGATCGCCGGGCGGCGGCGAGCGGCAGGCGAGCCGGGCGTTCGTACCGCGCGCCGCGGCGAGTAGTTAGGCGATCGCGCCACGGGGAGCGCTAGTGCGGCGAAATTGGTACGGCGCGTTAACACGGCTGGTACCCCTCTGGTTATGCGGTTCTCTGTGCGGGTGCCCCGGGCGCGCCATTGTGAGCAGGGTATCCGGTAATTTCCACCAGCTCCGCCGCCTCCACCGAGAGGAGTAGACTGGCGCCTATACAGGAGAGCCATACCGCCCGAGGCGGGCGTGGCGGGGCGTGGCGCTCGGGTCTTGCTCTTCTCACTACTAAGTGGAACACCCCAGCGCCGCGCCCCGCCACGCCCCGCTGATGGTGCCGTAATGCCTTTGTGCGCGATCCCGGGAACATGAAATGGGCATCACGTCAGGCGGCGGCCGGGGGTTCTCCTCCGGTCTCCTCCGGTCTCCTCCCGTGTCACAGGGTGGCCGACATGCGAACTCCCTGCCCGCCGCAGGCGCAGCCGCGCACCGCACCGCACAGTAGGGACCAGCGGGTGAAACTGTCGCCTCGCTAAAAACTGGCTGCCTCAAAGTTCTGCGCCGTGATGAACTGGAGGCTGGTGTTGTAGGTGTGTTTGTGGGAATGTAAGTAGAGAGAGAGGAGGGGGGGGGGGTGAGAGGTCGAGCACTGAATGCAAGTGGGACGGGCATGTGTGGCGGGGCTGGTAACGGAGCCCGGCCGGAGGTACCCCGAGAGCCGGGGGGCGTGGGCGAATCGGGCGACCAATCTGTGGTTTAGGTGCTGCCCCTACCGCCGCCGCTGCATCGGCGTGCACGGTAGCTTTCTTTTGTGGTACTTTCTCGCTTGAATATGGCGGGGTTTGACCTTTCGCCTAATCTGCTGCCGCTCGGCTCGCGCTCGGCCCGCGGCTCGGCCCGCTCCTAGCCGCCCGCCCGAATGGATCGGTTAACCCACTGCGGTCTGCTGCCGCCCCCCGGTCCCGACCTGGTCCCGACCCCCATCTGCGCCATCAGCCCCCCGGCTCCTCTCTCCCTGCTCCCTCCTCGCCCTTGACCTCGTCGTCGACACGGCGATTTGGCCATCTGGGCCAGCGGCCGCCAGCGGTGCGCGGGGGTGGCAGAGAAAGGCCTTTCCGGAGGAAATTTGCGATGCGATGCGCGCACCTGGCGCGCAGCTGCGTGACGCAAGCGCTGCAGCTGGGGGGCAGCTGCGGCCTTGGGGGGGACGCCGTGGGAGGAGGAGGAGGCCCGGCCCGGCTCGACGCGAGGCTCTCCGTGATCGTCACTCGTCGTCACGCGGCGGACCTTGGCTGACGCTTCCTCATTTCTCCAGGAGGAGGGCATGTCATGTCGCGGGGCACCCTGCCAGCGCGCCGCCGTTCTGCTCGCGTCGTCGGGGACGCCGATGACGACGCGGCTGTTGAAACCAGCGACTCGCGGGACTCGAGTGCTGCGCATAGTAAATGAGAAATATGGTCTTCGCGCAACACTGCGGGGGCGGCGGGACGAGCCGGGATGAGCTCACGGCGCGGACCTGGACCACCCACCTGTGATGGCCGTCATCGCGCAGTCCATGTGTGCGACGGGCGCAGCACCTGTTGCTGGCGGATGGGATTGGATGACACCGCGACCCGCGACCCCTCGATGCCGATGGCGCCCAATCTTTTTTTGTCGTCGACGGCTCTTCTGGTATACTTTTCATCGTGTCTTGTCGCTTGTCGACTCGACTACGTAGGTACTACTTGTTCGGCGGCGGCGTCGGTGGCCTGGACACCCTCGCTCTCAGGAAGGAGGCCGAGATGATGTGCAGCAAGGCGGAGCGGGTGCGCGCCGCCCCCCGAGGCCACGAGAGGCCGGGTGCTGCCTGGCGACGCTGCGGCGGGGAGGAAATGGCGAAGTGACGTAATCTGACGGATCTTTTTGTCGCGTGGGGCGTAAATATCAGCATTGGGGGGCCCTCCTGCCTGCCTGCTCGCCCGCCCGGCTCGGCCGCAGGCAGCCTGCGTTATGAAACGGGCCTCTGGCGCTCTAATTTGTATTCAGCGGCGGCGCGGCGCACGGACACCATCGGGGGGATGGGGGGCATCGCGCCCGCCTGATAGATGGG